TGTGTCCAACACTTCAGGCAGTCATTGACTGTAAAGGATTTGCAACCAAGTATTAAAACTGACTGTTTAATTGATGATTATGTTAGTTTGTCCAAATACTTATGAGCCCTTAAAGTCGGGGGACTGTGTGAAGAAATGGTTGTCATTCCTACACGGTTCATACTACATTTTTGAAAAAAGCCTTAAATGAAAGCTGAGAGTCTGCACTTTAAGCAGGTATTCATTGTTTCATTTAAAACCCATTGTGGTGGTGTACAGAACCAAAATGATAACAACTGTATCATTGTCCAAATAATTATGGACCTGACTGTAGGTGCACGCTCCCCGACAGCAGCATGCCCCGACACGCGTGGACTGTGAGGGCCCATTCATCGCTGCTTGCAGCTTTAATTAGGGCCTGAGCAACGACAAAGTCGTCCGAGGACCCTAATGAAATCGCGCTGTTTATTATTATCATTATTATTATTATTCTTGCGACATTTCGTGCCCCAATTTCACCCCTTTCCCAAATTTCAAAATGCGTCTAACTTTCCACATTCGTCCGGCTGCATCCGAAATTTGATATTTTTGGGCGGTTGCATATGGTCAACGCGAAACGCCGAAATAGCGCCCCCTACAAATTTTCAAAAAACCCTCCCCATTGGGTTTAGTTTGTCGTAGGCAAACGAAATTTGGTACGCACATGTATAATACCGATACCCACAAAAAAGTCTCTTGACGTCATGGTAAAATCCCAACAGGAAGTCGGCCATTTTGTTTTGAATTTTTTCGTTACAACGATTTCCACAACTTAAATTTGAATGAACCCCTCCTAGGGATTTCGTCCGATCGACTTCAAATTGGCTACAGATCATCCTGAGAACATGCTGATCAAAACTTATTAAAAGCTTCTCTCTATGTCAAGGGGCGTGGCCGCTAGGGCGTGAAAACTTTTGGCGACTTTTCGTTTTCTCACCATCGAATTTCGAACGGCTTTCCCACCCACTTACTTGATCTCAGCAGCTTCAGATTTGCTTAACATGATGATGGCTCCGCCCCGAATGCCCCGATATGTTTATATCCCACCTTACTTGTAGCGACCATTTTTTACTTTAACATGTACTAATGCCACAAACTTGACTGCATCAACTTCATTCCACTTCTAATGCATGCAGAACAAGTTGGTGAAGCTACCTTATGAACGCTGTGAAGCTACGTCTAATGATGTCCCTGTGGCGGCATGGTGACTATCGATCCCTCGCCACTAAATACGTTTGGCTTTTTGATGGCTTCAGGGACCTCATCTCCTCATGAAAATTTATACACAGTTCAAGAATGGCAAGCTCTTACATCTGATAGGGGCGTCGCCCATGGGGGGGACAAAATGCCTCTATAGCGCCCCCTTGAAATTTTCAAAAACCCCTCCACATAGGGTTTTTTTTGGAGTAGGAATATGAAAATTGGT